CCTAGTGAACGGGGCAGCTCTATTTACATCCAACATGAACTTAATCACGTATATGTTTAACCTACGCTTGAAACAATACAACGAGTCCACTTCTACTATGTTATCGTGTAATATGCTCCCAAAATCAACACCGCTTCCTATAAACCAGTATTTACCCAAGTACTTCCTGAATATGAAAATCGTCTAAATTGAATAGGAATAACACATATGCAATGTGTGTGTGATATCTTCGACAAAAAAAAGGGCAGTTTACGGGCTCACCATAGCCCGTGCTACTTGGAACATTTTGTTTCAGGTAGCGAATCTTGAACAACAACAATATGTTCGACAGGTCTCGTTCCCAAGTAGCCCTGTTGGTACATTATTAGGGTGGGATAGAGGTGTCTCTGAACACGGCGTTCTGTGGATGAGAGCGGTGGGAACCTGATGGATAGAAGTTGAAGGATGACCTCTCAGCAGGTCCTGGTTGGTTGGTTGGTGTTGTGACCTTTCAGAGTGTGGGGGAGGAGGCTGTGGAGGCAGACTAAATAATGTCTAATTTTAAGATATTGATCAATTATAAGCTAAATAAGATGTAAAATATTCAATATTAAAATATATAGACAAAGCGACTGCTAGATAGAACGGCACAAAAGTAGAGAAATAGATATATTGAACAATATATTATTTATAAGAAGTATTCTAATATGCATCTTGGTGTATACTGGCAGCAAGTTTTCATTTCGACAGGTTTCACTGAATATGGCTGCATGATCCGTCTTGATTATTTTCTTGTTTATGGCATCTATCCCGCAACTAGTGCTCGTGCATCTTAGTTTAACTCGAAGAGGATGTCTACAAATGCCATCTTTGTTCAAGGTTGACTAAAAGAATAAAAAAATTAACTATAGAATGTATTATACTTATTATAATTAATACAACGAAGGTGTGCTGTTTTTCTCAATGATTCAAGGGAAGGCAGAAAGCCATCAAGAGCAGAGGTCTGGCACATTTGTTTATCTAAATGCATTGTGGGGTTCAGTCCCTGAGCCCATTATGTGCCTCTGTAACCCTTTCCACCACCGCCCACAGAATGGGTATGGGGTGCATTATAATTGAACTAAACTAAAATTGGTACATTGCTACAGTTTTCTTCCATACGGCTTGAAAACCCTTTGTTCGATGGGTAAATGTGCATTGATGTTCCTGAAGGAGCTGAGCGACAAACTAATCAGTTGTGCTTTCCTTCCTCCTCTTTAACTTTCCCTATTCCAGTTTCTTTTCAGTAACTACATGTCAATACACGTGCCATATTTTACACTTGAATCAAACGAAAGACTGCACGAAAATGCCCAAGAGGTGTTTATATTTGCTAATATTTCTTAAATCATTTAACTTAGGCCTACACCAATGAGCCTATGTCCGTCCTGTACCACAAACCATTCCTCCTGCCAATTTGAGTGAGGCTAGCCGCAAGCGTCTGGGTTCCAGTTTTGGACTACCAGACAGACAGACACACACACTCTTATAGCATATATTGAGGTCCCCTGAAGGATGCATCAGTTGCTTAATACCCAAGTACCTATTTACTGCTAGGTAAATAGATATAGTAGGTGAAAGAAAACGTTCCCATCATTTCTTACCCACCTATAAATCGAATTCAGGATCCTCCCTCGATTATGAGTCGAGAATGAAGCCAACTGTACTACGATAGCCTGTATATGAATGACTTTAGGTGGATGTATATAGGAGCTGTCACGTATGGTCCAATAGTCCTTTTGTGATTATTTTTATGATTTTCTTACGTTATATAATTGTACTTAAGCAGGAGCCGCAGCTCACTAGAGAGTCCAATACGTCATTAAGCTTGGGTACAAAGAGAGACCAGACAAAAGTTTCGTTGAAACATTAAACAAAATCCAATTATAGCAAATCGTGATATAGATTTCCTTCTGTTAAAGTTGGCTAAATATTCAATGACATTTGACTATATTCAGAAATCGTTTGAAGTTTGATATTACCAGGCAAATGTTTCAAATTGAAATGCCATTAACCGCTCAGTGGAGTTGACACAAGACTATTGCAATACGGAGTGTAAGGTCGTAAAAGACAACAGCCAAGGCATGCAGTTCCTGGTAGAGGTCTCCTCCAGCTCACTCGCTCCGAGGTCGATACAGAATGTCGTCTGGACTTAATCCCTATTGGTTTAAAATTCTTCAGCTAGATTTCCCCTTTGCATCATCCATTTGGATTACCGTCGCTCGCGCTCTAGCGTGGGCTGTTGCCGGAGAGAATAATGAGGAACTCATTTACAGGGTCCCCCGTCTCTCTGCTTGGTTGGTCACTCACATACTCATGCCAAACATGCTGAGAACGAGGAGTAGCCGAACACGAGAACATTCGTAGACGAAAGAAGAGCCACAAGGATGTGAGTAAACAGTTGAGCTTAAGGGCGTTAAGTGGATGGAACTTAGACAATAAAGAGATGATCGATCCTTCACTCACAGTTTTACAAGACGAAATGACGAGAAACAGTTCGAAACGTGGGGCTCCGGAGCTAAAGCTCGTCCGTGCGTGCTCTGTCACGTAACAACATACTCTCATGAGAGGAGCAGATGTCTCCTGCAGCCTCGACACTCTGACCAGTGCATACATTTAAGCTTCTATTGTACCATTTATTTCAAGGGGACGGGACGGGCCTCGCTGCCAAGTTGGCTGATATGTTAAACGACGTTTACCGGGAGAGCGAAAAAACGCCACAATGAGGCTCCCAAGCTCCTTCTCTGCCTTCTATTCCATCTTCGCCTCCTCCTCCTCTTCCACCGTCTCCTCTTTCAACTCCTCACCAGGACTTGAGGCCAATTTACCCACGTCAAGGACAATTTTACCGGCGTCAAATTTAACCATTGTTGTCAGAGAGCTGTTGGCCGGATGCATCGTCTTGCGAGATCAAGGATCCTCCCAGCAGGGTCTTGGAGGGAGAAGAGCACCTTGGACGGACGGTATCAATGCTCTCGCCTCTGATTGAAGGGTTCAGCGAGCGTTTGATGTCTGCAACTCGTAGAGTCATATACACAGAGACACAGGTCAAGAGTGAGGATCTCCTCCTGCGCCAGGCTGCTCTTTGCCTGTGTCTTCGCCTTTTGTGATTCGTGATTTGTTGAAAGGCGCGTCCTCGACATGTCTCGGTCGGAGAGAAAATGTATTTTCGCCAAGGAATTAAGATCAAAGGGTCGGGAAAAAATGAGGGATGGCCAGAGTCTCTTCCTTGAGGCAGAGGAGTAGAAAAAAGTGCTCAGGAGCAAGGGAGACAGTTTTAAATAGGAGAGTACTGGGGTGAGAGAGACTCGTAGTGCGCGAGAGAAGTGTAAGGTGTAGAGTTAGAGAGATAAATGAGATGGTTGGGGAGTGAGGGAGAGTAGTGAGTAGTGTAGGGTGTTGAGGGAGAGAAGTGGGGAAGTATAGAAGAACTAAGAGAAACTTACAAATCTTTCACATGCGTTTTTTCACTGAGGTGGGGGAGAGCGCCGCTAGAACCGGAGTCTCAGGGACCGTCCAACCGTAACTGATGTAACGTGTCCTGAATGGCGACCCATCGAGGGTTCAGGTGCCTGTTCTGATGGGCTCGGGGCTCATCTAGATGTACGCGCCAGGTACCACCTCGGGTATTTAGACCCGCCTGTTGACCATGTTGAGGTTATCTTGATGTTATCTTGAGATGATTTCGGGGGCTTAGCGTCCTTGTGGTCCGGTCCTCGACCAGGACACGTTTTTGTTGCACATCCCCAGGAAGCAGCCCTTAGTAGCTGTCTAACTTCCAGGTACCTATTTACTGCCAGGTGAACAGGGGCATCGGGGTGAAAGAAACTCTGCCCATTTGTTTCCGCCTCCGCCGGGGATCGAACCCGGAACGTTAAAGCTACGAATCCCGAGCGCTGTCCACTCAGCCGTCAGACCATCAGTAGATGAATGCAACATCTCTATTCACTCGTGTGGCTGCGGTATTAACATCATAACAACATATTATTAAATTGACCTCAACAGCTTCTTCACCTAGTCCACTCAGGCTATACGCTGAAGAAGTTTTTCTGACCTATGTAAAGGAGAAATAAATTTACGAGCCCTCGTTCATAAAAACGAAACGATGTAAATTACAAGTACTTTGGTCGATTTATTTACAAGTTAAAAACAGGGGCAGTGGGGGCCCAAGAGCTACAACTTGACCAGGCAGCCTGTCTTCCCTGTGCCATTTATAGTACAAGGGAAGGTAAATTTCAGGGGAACGCACCAAGCCAGCACGACAGTATTGGCTTGGTGTCCCACAGTATCCCTGTGTGAAAGGGATCAGGATAAGGATGTGGGATGGGACGGGTACAGTACTAGGGAGTGAAGGAAAGGTGTCCAGATGCTTTGACTTGTCGGCTCAGTGATGGCCTCGCTTCTTGCAAGAACGGCGTTCGATTCCCAATGGCTATAGACACTGTTTCTTCACTTCGAACTTATATTATTGACTTATTGTGTTTGATTTTTAATGTTAATGTTATTACTATTATTCAAATTATTTCTATATTTTAATTTATTTTTTAAATTTAAAATTATTTATATATTTTAAATTATTTATACATTTTAAATTATTTACATTATTTAAATTATTTATATATTTTAAATAATTATATTATCTACTTAAATTATTATGATTATTTAAATTATTATATTTTTGCGCATATTATTATTATTATTATTATTATTATTATTAACACACAGTAGCATGGTTAGAGAACAGGTAATATTTTCCCTGTCAGAGAGATTATGGTGGCTGGTGAAACACATTATTATTCAGATTACATGATATTGTCTTGATTAAATAACCTCTGAACCCACCAATGTATTTACATTCTCACTAACCTTTGTTTTCTCTCTGTCTCTTACTCTCTCAGTATCTCACCACTCCCCTGTCTCTCTCTCTCCCCCGTCAGGAGGTGTCGCGGACGGAGACGCAGGTGACCCTGTCTATCAACAGTATGACCTCAGCGGCCACCGGGGAATACAAGTGTGAAGTGATCGCTGAACACCCATCCTTCAGGACGGAGACCCGCTCCGTCTTCATGGTGGTGCTGGGTAAGTCCTAAGGGAGGAAGGGAGGGTAAGTCCTAAGGGAGGAAGGGAGGGTAAAGGGAGGAAGGGAGGGTAAGTCCTAACGGAGGAGTGAAACAGACGAGGAAGGGAGGCCAGGGGGACCTACTACTGTATTTCACTCCGACGCTCTGCTCAACAGTCAAGATCTATAGTGGTTCGTAAAAATGCACAAGAGATTGAGAAGATAACTTGTTGGTTCCCGTTTGTGATCATGTTAGTGCGCCACACGAACCCAGTTATGATCACTTCGTCGGAGCTGTCTCCCTCTCAGCCAAGATCACATCATCGTAGCTGTGTCTGTCCCAGCCAAGATCACATCAATTTCAGCGGAGTTTTATGAAACTATTCTTCTCAGTGTCGCAATATTATCGTCAATAATATGGGCAATGCAGCATAATTTGTTATTTTTTTCTGTAAACAGACCAGGGATAAAATAACTTGCTAGTTACTAACACAGCTCTGAAATTGTGTGTTATTTTATTGTTAATTAAACTGTTTTGTATCACTGGTTTATTTTACATTTCTGCTCCATTTTCAGTCATCGTGCTGGCTACATAAATGCTGTTGTCGACATAACAGTTTATCAGTAAATAAATAAAAATACATGAAAAAAATAAGTAAAATATGACCATGTCTGTCGCTCGCTGTCCCTTTTAACCCCTATGGATATGATGGGAGGGTGGTGCGTGTGCGTGCGTGTGTGTGTGTGTGTGTGTGTGTGTGTGTGTGTGTGTGTGCGTTTTCGTGTGTGTGTGTGTGTGTGTGTGTGTGTGTGTGTGTGTGTGTGTGTGTGTGTGTGTGTGTGTGTGTGTGTGTGTGTGTGTGTGTGTGTGTGCGTGTGCATGTGCGTGTGTGTGTATACAGCCCCTCCCACTTACAGGAGCTGTAAGTGGGAGCCCCGAACCCGAGTCCACGGCCAGATTACTGCACAATAACTAGCCTTCGCTTCTGTCCGAATACGAGTCATTTGTTCGAGACATATTTTTGCGTATAAATGATCCAGAATTTGGGTTCCAGATCTAAGACATTTTCCTGCAAGACCCGAAAAGCTGCCTAATATATTATATATATATATATATATATATATATATTTATATATATATATATATATATATATATATATATATATATATATATATATATATATATATATATATATATATATATATAACCGACTCAGCGCTGCGCCCTCCACTTTCGGGAGTCTGTGACCGTTTGGTCTACAGTTACATCTTGTGGTCGAGAAACAGCAATTATGGGGAATTTGACGCCACCCATTTTCTTTCTGAATAACAGATGATCATTAACGTAATCTGTGACCATCCTCCGTCACAGATATTCATCACAGTAATTTATATTCATCTGTCGTCACAGAAGCTCATCACAGTCAGTAATTAATACTTTACAGCCGATGCAATAATGATGGTATTTGTATTTCTACATAATTTAGGTTAAGCAATACGAAGAGTTATATTTTTCTAGTGTTTTCGTTATACTGTTCGATATTGTTGATATCGTATTGATGATATAGGGTTGATATCGTGTTGATGATATCGTGTTGATATCGTGTTGATGATCAAATAGTGATGATATAGTGATGATATAGTGTTGATATCGTGTTGATGATCATATAGTGATGATATAGTGTTGATATCGTGTTGATGATCATACAGTGATGATATAGTGCTCGATAGTGTCCAATAGTATTGATATAGAATTCAAGAGTGTCTGAATTGTGTTGATATAGCGATTACATAATGTTGATAGTGTTACAGTGTCCAGTAGCATTGATACAGTGTTCGACTGTATTAATATAGTGCTCGTGTATGTCATTATTTCCAACTCTTATAGACCGTAATGTTGTGAATTACAAATTAATGTCCCGAGCATCCTACTGGAGCTGCGATGAATCCTGTGCTTTATGGCAGGTAGCTGTACAGTGAAGTATACACAATTGTACAGGAACTGTACCATTGCAGTGTTAAAATTAGGGCACCTTACGCGACTTAAGTACAAAAGCGTGTACAAAGGTGTCGTACACACCTTTGTATACGGCACTTCACAGAGTAGAGAAACCACACCCCCCCTCCCAGGTACACATACACCATGCATACGATCCTACATACAAACCATGTATGTAGGATTATGTATAATATATTTGATACTTTAATTCATACATGGTTGAGTCAGCGATCCCTTCTCCCTTAAATAAAATCTGTTAAAAATCTCCTTTAAATAAAATTAATAAGAGCCACACAGAGAACCATACAGAGAACCATACAGAGAACCATACAGAGAACCACACAGAGAACCACACAGAGAACCATACAGAGAACCACACAGAGAACCATACAGAGAACCATACAGAGAACCATACAGAGAACCACACAGAGAGCCATACAGAGAACCATACAGAGAGCCATACAGAGAACCATACAGAGAACCATACAGAGAGCCACACAGAGAACCACACAGAGAGCCATACAGAGAACCATACAGAGAACCATACAGAGAACCACACAGAGAGCCATACAGAGAACCACACAGAGAGCCATACAGAGAACCATACAGAGAACCATACAGAGAACCTGAGAACCATACAGAGAACCACACAGAGAGCCATACAGAGAACCATACAGAGAACCATACAGAGAACCACACAGAGAACCATACAGAGAACCATACAGAGAACCATACAGAGAACCATACAGAGAACCATACAGAGAACCATACAGAGAACCACACAGAGAACCATACAGAGAACCATACAGAGAACCACACAGAGAACCACACAGAGAACCATACAGAGAACCATACAGAGAACCACACAGAGAACCATACAGAGAACCATACAGAGAACCATACAGAGAACCACACAGAGAACCATACAGAGAACCATACAGAGAACCATACAGAGAACCACACAGAGAACCATACAGAGAACCATACAGAGAACCATACAGAGAACCATACAGAGAACCATACAGAGAACCACACAGAGAACCATACAGAGAACCATACAGAGAACCATACAGAGAACCACACAGAGAACCATACAGAGAACCATACAGAGAACCATACAGAGAACCACACAGAGAACCATACAGAGAACCATACAGAGAACCATACAGAGAACCACACAGAGAACCACACAGAGAGCCACACAGAGAACCATACAGAGAACCATACAGAGAACCATACAGAGAACCACACAGAGAACCATACAGAGAACCATACAGAGAGCCACACAGAGAGCCATACAGAGAACCACACAGAGAGCCATCTTGAGGTTATCTTGAGATGATTTCGGGGGTTTTTAGTGTCCCCGCGGCCCGGTCCTCGACCAGGCCTCCACCCCCCAGGAAGCAGCCCGTGACAGCTGACTAACACCCAGGTACCTATTTTACTGCTAGGTAACAGGGGCATAGGATTAAAGAAACTCTGCCCATTGTTTCTCGCCGGCGCCCGGGATCGAACCCGGGACCACAGGATCACAAGTCCAGCGTGCTGTCCGCTCGGCCGACCGGCTCCCTCATATAGAGAACCATACAGAGAACCATACAGAGAACCATTACAGAGAATCATACAGAGAGCTATACAGAGAACCATACAGAGAACCATTACAGAGAACCATACATAGAGCCATACAGAGAATCATACAGAAAACCACACAGAAAACCATACAGAGACCATACAGTGAACTATTACAGTTAACCATACAAAGAACCATACAGAGAACCATACAGAGAATCACACAGAGAACCATACAGAGAACCATACAGAGAACCAGAGAACCACACAGAGAACCACACAGAGAACCACACAGAGAACCACACACGAGAACCACACAGGGAACCACACAGAGAACCACACAGGGAACCACACAGAGAACCATACAGAGAACCACACAGGGAACCACACAGAGAACCATACAGATATCCACACAGAGACCCATACAGAGAACCATATTCACGCTAACTATAGATAATATAATCTTGCATGAACCGAGACTGCTTGCCCAACAGGTTGCGTTAGACACAAGAATTCCGCCACAACTCACTGGAATTGTTGTGTGTGTGTTGCTCTGAGCAACTGTACACTGTTGATGAGCGCTGGGAGTAGGTGGTGGCGTTGCACTGAGCACCTATTGCAACATGAGAGTGCTAGTGACACCACAGGTGTTCGGCATGCCTCGCGTGTAGCTGTGTTCTTCATCAGAGGTCTCTTGCTCTCCTGATCCTCAGTCCTCATAGTTCTTGCTCTCCTGATCCTCAGTCATCATAGTTCTTGCTCTCCTGATCCTCAGTCCTCATTGTTCTTGCTCTCCTGATCCTCAGTCCTCATAGTTCTTGCTCTCCTGATCCTCAGTCATCATAGTTCTTGCTCTCCTGATCCTCAGTCCTCATAGTTCTTGCTCTCCTGATCCTCAGCCCTCATAGTTCTTGCTCTCCTGATCCTCAGTCATCATAGTTCTTGCTCTCCTGATCCTCTGTCCTCATAGTTCTTGCTCTCCTGATCCTCAGTCCTCATAGTTCTTGCTCTCCCCTCATTCTCAGTCCTCATAGTTCTTGCTCTCCTGATCCTCAGTCATCATAGTTCTTGCTCTCCTGATCCTCAGTCCTCATAGTTCTTGCTCTCCTCATCCTCAGTCCTCAAAGTTCTTGCTCTCCTGATCCTCTGTCATCATAGTTCTTGCTCTCCTGATCCTCAGTCATCATAGTTCTTGCTCTCCTGATCCTCAGTCATCAAAGTTCTTGCTCTCCTGATCCTCTGTCATCATAGTTCTTGCTCTCCTGATCCTCAGTCATCATAGTTCTTGCTCTCCTGATCCTCAGTCATCATAGTTCTTGCTCTCCTGATCCTCAGTCCTCATAGTTCTTGCTCTCCTGATCCTCAGTCCTCATAGTTCTTGCTCTCCTGATCCTCAGTCATCATAGTTCTTGCTCTCCTGATCCTCAGTCCTCATAGTTCTTGCTCTCCTGATCCTCAGTTCTCATAGTTCTTGCTCTCCCCTCATTCTCAGTCCTCATAGTTCTTGCTCTCCTGATCCTCAGTCATCATAGTTCTTGCTCTCCTGATCCTCAGTCATCATAGTTCTTGCTCTCCTGATCCTCAGTCCTCAAAGTTCTTGCTCTCCTGATCCTCTGTCATCATAGTTCTTGCTCTCCTGATCCTCAGTCATCATAGTTCTTGCTCTCCTGATCCTCAGTCATCAAAGTTCTTGCTCTCCTGATCCTCTGTCATCATAGTTCTTGCTCTCCTGATCCTCAGTCATCATAGTTCTTGCTCTCCTGATCCTCAGTCCTCATAGTTCTTGCTCTCCTGATCCTCAGTCCTCATAGTTCTTGCTCTCCTGATCCTCAGTCCTCAAAGTTCTTGCTCTCCTCATTCTCAGTCCTCATAGTTCTTGCTCTCCTCATTCTCAGTCCTCATAGTTCTTGCTCTCCTGATCCTCAGTCCTCATAGTTCTTGCTCTCCTCATTCTCAGTCCTCATAGTTCTTGCTCTCCTGATCCTCAGTCCTCATAGTTCTTGCTCTCCTCATCCTCAGTCCTCAAAGTTCTTGCTCTCCTGATCCTCAGTCATCATAGTTCTTGCTCTCCTGATCCTCAGTCATCATAGTTCTTGCTCTCCTGATCCTCAGTCCTCATAGTTCTTGCTCTCCTGATCCTCAGTCCTCATAGTTCTTGCTCTCCTGATCCTCAGTCATCATAGTTCTTGCTCTCCTGATCCTCAGTCCTCATAGTTCTTGCTCTCCTGATCCTCAGTCCTCATAGTTCTTGCTCTCCTCATCCTCAGTCCTCATAGTTCTTGCTCTCCTGATCCTCAGTCCTCATAGTTCTTGCTCTCCTGATCCTCAGTCCTCATAGTTCTTGCTCTCCTGATCCTCAGTCATCATAGTTCTTGCTCTCCTGATCCTCAGTCCTCATAGTTCTTGCTCTCCTGATCCTCAGTCCTCATAGTTCTTGCTCTCCTGATCCTCAGTCATCATAGTTCTTGCTCTCCTGATCCTCAGTCCTCATAGTTCTTGCTCTCCCCTCATTCTCAGTCCTCATAGTTCTTGCTCCCCTCATTCTCAGTCCTCATAGTTCTTGCTCTCCTCATTCTCAGTCCTCATAGTTCTTGCTCTCCCCTCATGTTTCTCTCACACACATGCTACTCGTGAGGTCCTCGACCATTCACACACGTTCAAGGCGCTTTATACTCACAATCCTGTCATTCGGCTATTCATATACACGTATTCAACAAGTATAAGCATCCCTCTCCTCTAACCCCTGTAATCTATATACTTTCCCTTCCCCCTCACAGTCCCCTCCTATCCCCTCACTAACCCCCTCCCTCCCTCTCAACAGTCTCCTCTCAATATTGGGAAAACTGCTTCAGAAGTCCTCATCTCTCTCGTGAAAATGAAAACATTGAGAGCAATACCTTCTCCAGGCCATAATTTTTCTAGGATGAGAGCCCTGAAAATGCCGTAAAACTATATAATTTATGATACGATTACCGATTTAGGCAGCAATTTCCCCTCGTGTTCTCGCGTCGTAAAATGGACCATTTTCGCCAACCTGACAGAAGCAGTCATGCAAAAAATTGGACATGGGGGGCATATCTTTAATAACTTGGTCCGGCCCCCCGCCGCCCCCTGCTTCTCCTGCATTGTTCTAGGTTGGTAAAGAGGTCCCGCTTGTGTGTGGGGGGCGGCGCTCCCAGGCTGGACCCCCCCTCCTTTGAAGGGCGCATGGGGGGGATGTTGAAGGGATGGGGTGAGAGAAGGAAGGGCTCAGGATGGGTGTTCCAGGGAAGGGGTGAAGGGAAGAAGGGTTTACTGTGGGTTTCTAAGAAGGGGAGTGGAATGGAGGTGATGGGAAAGAATGTTTGTTCTTAAAAAACAAAATCCTAGATAGAGAAGGAAACTGTATTATACATAAATGTATTTGTTTCCATGAATGTATCTGTGTATATATCTTAGCAGGTAAGTATGTGTGTCTATATATGAATGCTGTATGTATTGAGTCCATTTATACATATGCTATACGTTTTATGCATATGTATGTTTGCATACATGCATAAAACTACATACTCCCATACATGTATGGGAGTATGTAGTCTTCACCCCCCCCCCCAGAACAGACATATTTACCTCTTAAATGTTTGTTTCATGGGAAGTGTGAATTGTCACTCACACTGATCACTCATACTCGTCACCTCCCTCGCCTCACACCTGTCACCACTATACTCACCTCACACCTGTCATTATAATAACCTCACCTCACACCTGTCACTCACTATACTCACCTCACCACACACCTGTCACTCACTATACTCACCTCACCTCACACCTGTCACTCACTGTACTCACCTCACCACACACCTGTCACTCACTATACTCACCTCACCTCACACCTGTCACTCACTGTACTCACCTCACCACACACCTGTCACTCACTGTACTCACCTCACCACACACCTGTCACTCACTATACTCACCTCCCCACACACCTGTCACTCACTATACTCACCTCACCTCACATCTGTCAGTACTCCCTATTCTCCCACCACCTCTCCTCCCATTAAGAACTAATTACCAATTACCAATAACATAAACCCATTTTTTAAACCCAAAACCTATCGCGTTAACGACCCAAATCGCCTCGTTACGTTTATCCACAACTCTGTGATATTCACCACTTTGGACCACCCTGGAATTAGAATCAGGTAAATTACACACCACTGTCCTCTGCTGTCAATCAGGATACCGAAGCGTCGCGCGAGCTGAAGAAACTTGCTACAGACAGGTATAATTGGTCAGTTATCTTACCAGCTTTTACGTCAGTTTACTTGTAAATTAGTCAAGATTCTGTCACGATACCGGGAAGAATGTGGTGACGCCGGTCAGAAACGCCAGGAGATCTGATCGGTCGGGGCAACGGGCCTCTGATTGTTGTTGAGCTTGGCTGGAACTTGACTGTTGTGATTACTGGAACTTCCTGGAAAACCTGACTGGTAAACGGATTAACTTTCCAAGGCTTAAGTGTATTTAGTGAATGTTCACAGTACAGGCTGATAGTGAATGTTTACAGTACAGGCTGATAGTGAATGTTTACAGTACAGGCTGGTAGTGAATGTTTACAGTACAGCCTGGTAGTGAATGTTTACAGTACTGGCTGGTAGAGAATGTTTACAGTACAGGCTGGTATTGAATGTTTACAGTACAGGCTGGTAGTGAATGTTTACAGTACAGGCTGGTAGTGAATGTTTACAGTACTGGCTGGTAGTGAATGTTTACAGT